TCAAAGAGAACAACAAAGGAAAGGACAGCAGGGGAGAGGAGAGGAGAGGAGAGCAGAAGAGGGGAGCAGAGTCCACAGAAGAAAACAGAAATGCCCAACATTGAGCTTTACTAATCTTGAGGGGAGGCAAAGTCACGACACAACTTTCTTTCACCTATGATGTCAGCAAAAGCAGAAGAAAGATAATTTCCAGCAGGTGATATTCAGATGAATTGCTGTCTCCTTTTGGAAAACAATCTAGACTTAACATAAAAATTAAAATACATTCTTTTTCTTAGCAAGTTTTATTTCTGATAACATCTAAAAGACATTAAGTTACTAATATGTAGCTAACAGCAAGGTTAGTGGATAACAGTTATCAAATCAGCCAACAGGGAAAGCTAAATGAACGTTGGGGCATCTGTGCCACAGAATGTTACATAGCTGTTAAGATGAATCACTAGAACCCCAAGGTGAAAGAGATGATTATAACTTACTAGTAAATAAGGAAAGCAAGCCACAAATAGCATTTCCTGTATAGGTTGATCACTGTTTAAAAGTGACAAGAGGTCATCTGTGGGTACACCACCATATATACTGCTGAACCAAGGGACAGAAAGAAGACTACTGTTTTAACAGACTAATTATCTCCTACCTGCTAGTGTCTTTGGTGCCAAAGAAGAAACAAGAACACCAGCCCTGCCACAAACCCTCTGATCTACAGTGCTGACCAGCCTGCAAGACATGCTAGTGCAATGGTTGCATCAACCTGTGGGAGGAACCAAACAATATCTGATTTGACTTAAGGCCCACTCTAGGAGATGGAACTCATACCTAGCACTGCTTGGGTGACCACGAATCTGAGACTAGACAGCCCAGGGACCTACGGTAAAACCAACATTACTTTTCTACCAAAATAATATAGCAATAAAATGACTCCTAATCTCATTCTGGCCTTGCTCCGCCATCATCAGAGAAACTTCTGCCTGCAACAGATAGGAACAAACACAGAGACCCACAGCCAGCCAAAATGCAAGGTGAGAGACCTTGGAACACTCAGCCTACAAGAAGAGGTCTCCATCAAAACCTTCCTCTCAGGACTCAGGAAACCGTGCGGAAGAGCAGGTGGAAAGAATCGAAGTGCCAGAGGGAATGGAGGACACCAAGGCAACAAGGCCCTCTACATCAACATGTGAACTCACAAAGACAGAGGCTGCACACAGAGGGCCCGCCCGAACAGGTAAGTGTCAGATGGAGTCCTAACCCTGAATGGAGAAGACACATGCTCCATCCTTAATCCAGAAGCTGTCTCCAACTGATAACCACGCTCAAATGAATTAGTTTTCTCCATGGGAATCTCACCGGGAAAACAAACTATTCCTAAGGGTAGACTGTATGCCCAGCAGTGGATGCCACCAAAAAATAAACTCAATGGCATCTTTGCAGATTCTTTGCCTCATCATGTCATAGCAGGCCTTTTTTTTACATTTATTTTTTTTTTCTGTTTTTACCCTACAGGTCCTTTGCATATGTACAATGGCTTCCAGTTTAGTGTTTTTATGGGATTTCTGAGTGTGCAAATGAGTGGGGTCTCTGTGTCTATATCTGTTGTCAGCCTTTTCCCTTCTGCTTGTTTCGTCCTTTTCCAATATGTTAGTTTTTGACTTTCTTATTACATTATATTTATTATTATCCCCCAGAAGCCTGTTTGTTTTCTAATAAGAGACAGAAAGGGGATCGTCCTAGCTGGTTTTCTGTGTCAGCTTGACACAAGCTAGAGTCATCAGAGAGGAAGGAGCCTCAGCTGAGGGAATGCCTCCATGAGATCCAGCTGTAAGGCATTTTCTCATTTGGTGATCAATGGTGGTGGGCACAGCCCATGGTGGTTGGTGCCATCCCTGGGCTGATGAGTTCTATAGGAAAGCAGAATGAACTAGCCAGGGGAAGCAAGACAGTAAGCACCACCCCTCCACAGTCTCTGCATCAGCTCCTGCCTCTGGGATCCTGCCCCATTTGAGTTCCTGCCCCAGCCTTCTTCAGTGATGAACAGCAATGTGGAAGCCCCCTTCCTCCTCAGCTTGCTTTTTGGTCATGGTGTTTTGTGGTAGCATTATTAGTTCTAACTGAGACAGGGGTGGATTTGGATGGGAGGGGATCTGGGGAAGACCTGGGAGGATTAAAGGGAGGGGAAAGGATAATCAGGATATATGAAAAAAACCTATTCTCAATAAAAGGAAAGAAAATTTAAAGGCCAATTATACAGAAAATGTAACTTCCACTAACAAGGTGTGGTGTGCCTTTCACCTGTGGCATTAGTTTAAATAGCTTTAAATGCAGAGAAAACATTATTACTGTTGTTTTAGAATGGAGCAAACAATACAACTGGAGATAATCATGCTAAGCTAATTAAGCCAATCTCATGAAAGCAAATACTGTATATTTTCTCTCATCTGTGGTTTTTAGATTTTCTATAAGTACAAAAAATCTGCACAGGTATGTCTTAGTTATGTTTTCTATTGCCTTGATGAAACACTCACACCAAGAACAACTTGGAGAGCATAGGGTTTATTTCATTCACATGTCCACAAAACAGTTCATCGAAAGCAATGGGCAGGAACTCAAACAGGGCAGGAACCTGGAGGCAGGAGCTGCTGCAGAGGCCATGGAAGGGTGCTGCTTACTGGCTTGCTCCACATGGCTTGCTCAGTCTGCTTTCCTAGAAGAACCCAGAACCACCAGTTCAGGGATGGCTCTACCCACAATGGGCTGAGTCCTCCCACAACACTAACTAAGAAAATGCCCTAATGGTGTACAGCAGTCTGATCTTATAGAAGCAATTTCTCAGCGGATGTTCCCTCCCCTCAGCTTTCTATAGCGTGTGTCACCTTGACATAAAACTAGACAGTACATCATATATCTTAGTCATGGTTCTATTGCTGTGAAGGGACACAATGAACAAGCAACTCATATAAAAGAAAGCATTTAATTGATAGCTTGCTTTCAAGTTTCAGAGGCTTGGTCTTTTGTCATGACGGTGGGAAGTATGGTGCCAGGCAGGCAGGCATGGTGCTAGAGAAGTAGCTGAGAGCTTTACACCCTGATCCTCAGGCAGCAGAGAGAGAGAGAGAGAGAGAGAGAGAGAGAGAGAGAGTAACTCTGGGCCAGGTGTGGGCCTTTTGAAACCTCAGGGCCCACCCCCAGCGACACACCTCCTCCTAATCCTTCCCTAAAGTCCAACTAGAAACCACACATTCAAATATATGAGTCTACGGGTGGCCAGTCTCATTCAAATCACCACAGCACATGTGACTAAAAATGTCTCTTACTTCAAATAGAGTGGTATTGTAGATAATTTGTGATTTCAAGTTTTGGTAATAATATAAAAAATGTTAAGAGAAAAAGACAACAGCATTGTGTGGATGAGATCTTCCATTCCCAGTCTTGTGGCCTTGGGGAAATTAACTTCCATTTGAGCTATTTCATTTATTGTGGTCATAATAAAAAGCTGTAAGATTAAACAAAACTCTTCACTGCACACCAATCAGAAAATTGAGGCCCACAAAAGTGATGAGATTTTTCCTGCAAAACTAATGAGCAACATCCTGAACTAAAATGTGCACTCCAGATTTCCCAGTTAAGTGTTCACACCCACCGTGCTGATACCCTCTATGATAGCTTGGATGTGAGCTGGGGACAGTCAGAAAATCTCTGAGAGTTAAACAACTTCTCTGAAGTTGGCTCAGCAAAACTATACCTTTCTCAAATATTTCTGAAATTAAAGTGTAGAGTATGTGCCATTACAAAGGAAACATAAGTAGACTGCCTAGCTTAATAAATGGAAGCAACTACTAATTTCAAGAAAAAAAATGACTATAAACTTTAATATAATATATAATTAATGTTGCCCTAGCTGACTAATTCTTACTGTATCTCAGCTTAAACATAATTTCTCTCAAAAACCTGTTGGAACAGGGTAGAAAATCCCTTTCTTCAAAGTATGTCTCCAGAACTCAAATTCTCTCTTAGAGAATGGCACAACCATTTTTGTCCATTGCTAGTTGCCTTTAAACACTGTGAAAACATGAGCAACTTAACTTCTTGCTTACCACTGTAACCAAGGCACCTACAAAGATACAGGGTGTGAATATTAAGACTTTGCTTAATTACTGGTCATCACAAGGCCACTTAAGGTGATCCTACTAAATCAGCTGCTTTTCTATCAATGGATTTTTAACTGCCAATTCAAAGACCAAAATACCAATGACCAACTACTCACCCTCCCCTACACCCCTTCATTATGTCAAATAACAGGCAAGGATGAATGGGCACACAAAGTAAATGTTTGTGGCTGATGGAGATAATGAAACAGCTTAAAATTGTTATGCATCACTCCTCTCCAATAACACCACCATTGCTGCCCTGACAATTATTCACAGCAGTAACTAGAACTATTTGTTTAGTTCTACATATGGAGATCTTAAGTCAATCATCCCTATTAACCCTTAAAATGAACTTGTAAAAGTTTGGCAGTGAAGAGGCTGAAAGACAAACATCTTTAAGTACTTTGCTACAAAGTGGAACAGTAAGAATGTCAATCAGGTCTGCTGATTTCACAGGTCATTTCTTAATCTTTGGGTCAACCTCCCTCCATTAGAGAAAGAAAACACCTTAGTTCAAAGACTTGAGTGCAATGAAATGTCCCTACTGCTCTGTCTCAGAGAGTGGGAATTCCATGTGCCATTCATTTTCTCCAGAGAGTCACAAGGATTTCACTATGTTATAGTGAACTATCAACATTTGGCCAGGTGTGGTAGCACATGTCTTAAATCCCAGCACTTGGGAGGCAGAGGCAGGCCGATCTCTGAGTTCAAGGCCCCCCTGGTCTACAAAGCAAGTTCCAGGACAACTAGAGATACATACTGAGACCCTGTCTCAAAAAACCCCAAAATAAATAAATAATACACATAACAGGAAACTAGGAAACTAGGATAATTCACTGAGAAACTATAGTAAACACTCACCTACAAAGGCTGCCATCTGGGCGGCGGTTCTTCCGACTGAGTTCACAACATCCGTCTCTGCGCCTGCCTCCAACATCACCCACGTGATGTCTTTATTGCCTAGAGTTCCAGGACACAGATTCGTTAACCCTAAGACATGCACAGTTTTGTCTGCTCTCTCTCAAGCACCCTTACTGACTTTTAGGTTTCTATCATGAGGACATTTTCATTTTTCCAAAAATATCAATCATAATTACAAAAATAAAGCATCACAATAATATCTACTTTGTCAAAGTAATTTCCTGGAAACCAAATTGGTAATAAAAACATAGTATAGGATTGAATATCACTTTCAAGTATGTTTGCTTAATGGTAATGCTTAGTATAAAATCAAACTATACAAACAAAATTATCAAAAACCAAGGGAAGAGAGAAATGAACAGAAGCCCTCCTTTAACACCCACTGGCTCATTCCTCCTGACACCTGCAGACTCGGAGGTGTATACGGTAAATATGTGGTACTTATGGTATAAGCATTAGTGATCTTTCTGCACATTTCTGTGTAACTATCTATAGCTCATTTTCATTTTCCAAATCATTATGCATATTTTTCTAATATTATCTCCACTGAGCGAGCAGCACTTTTGGTTCATTTTTGTAAGTATGAATCATGATTTCCTTAGGAACATTTCCTGGGAAATGTGAGTGAAGATTATATATGTTCTAAACACATATTGCCAGGTTGCCATCCAGCAAGGGTAGACCAAATACATTCCACAAAATAGTGCAAAGAAGTTCCCAAGCACCAGTGCCTTAACTGTTGCCAATGTAATGAGCGTAAAATGATTGTATGTGCTCCAGTTTTGACCTCTTTGACTAATGCTGAAAGCATTTTCTATATTGATCAGCTGGCTTGACTTCTTCTGTTCTCTGTCCATTGTCTCTCACAGTATTTATCTTTCTCTACTTGATTTATAAGAACTCCTTATAGATAGCAATGAAACCATTAAACACACACAATACTTCATTTTTTTTGTATTTTAACTCTTTCTATAAAATATCTCATTTACAGCAATGTTAAAATTCTATGTAATTAAATCACTGATGTCCCCTTTGCTTATAGTTTTATTTACTTATTATTATTATTATTATTATTATTATTATTATTATTATTTGAGTGTGTGAGCACCTGTGCGGTGGTCACTCGAGAGGAACAGCTGGTGGCAACTGAAGTTCAAGGTGTCAGCCCACCAGAAGGAAACTCCCTAATGGAGCAATCTTGGACAGGCAAGGCCCAGAGACCACAGACCCCAGAATCTCTTTTGTTTCTGCTGTGCCTTTACATGTTTGCAGCTGCAAACAAAAATTATCTCTGGTATCTGGCCTGGTGTGAGTGGATGTGGAGAGATCCCCACTGCCTGTAACACGGTGTGTTCTCTCATGGAAACATCCTGTTCCACTGGACATTTTTACCTGTGGATTACTATGAAGATGATTCCTTCCTAAGTTGTACTGTCTGATTGATGATAATAATAATGCTAGTTTATACAGAGTTTTGATGAATAAAAATATATACAAGGAAGTGTCACACAGCTAGAACACAGGAGTTTCCATTGAGGAGCCATACAGACTATGGCTTAGGTAAATGATAAAGAATAAGAACTGAGTCCGAATTAGCCCAGCTAGCTTAAATTCTTTTCACCTTAATGTCACCACAACTGAAACAAAGCTTTTAAAATAACTTAAAGTTACACTAAGATGTTTTTGTCAAATAGCTCTGAGGTGAAAAACCCAAGAAGACAATGTAAAGTTTTAGAAAAGCACATAGTTGAATTCGGAACTATTTAAGGTCTGGGAACAAGATCAAAGCAGCCCCATTATCATTGGCTGCTGCACCTCTCTTGTTAGGATTGGTTGATGACCAAAGGTGATGATTAATTCCTTACACCTATTTTTGCCCTCAATGTCCTGATAAAAAACTATTGATGAGTGGGTATGTACCCTAAAGATTTAAAGTACAGCTGACTGATTCTTTTGCACAAATAAAAGTTTAGGTTTGTGATTCCTTTAAGGTTCCTTATAAGATTACTTTTCGAGATAAGTAATAAAGTAATTGGCCCTTTCTTTGTAACTGCAAAATGCAGCCTGCCAGAAAAAGACCTGACTGAGAAGAATATATTGCTTGCCCACATGGTTAATCTATAACAAGTTAGTTGGGTATGAATGTATGTGGGTTCTTGGGATAATTTGTTTTTCACTTGTAATATATAAAATGTTTAATGTTTAATTATGTAAGGGAGATGGAAAACATTCTGCTTTTTACTTGTAATCATTCACTTGAAAAACAAAATGTAACAACATTGTAATTTTTATATTGCCTGAAAAACTTTGTTGGGATATATAAGATAGTGTGTTTTCCCCCTAACTTCCTCAAATAGAAAAGTCTAGTATGTGCAGACACTGTGGATTTCCCTTTGAGCCCTGTGTTGATTGGAGGCTGCCCCCCCAAGGCAGCAATATGCTTGTATGTGTTTACTGTACATGTGTGCAGGTACCCACAGTAGCCAAAGGGCATCTAATCCCCAGGAACTGCAGTTACAGGCAGTTGCGAGCCACCTGATGTGGGTCCCAGGAACTGCTGAACTGCAGTCCTCTGTAAGAGTGGTAGGCATTCTTTTATTTACTTTTTCTGGAGGTGGGGGTGGGGTGGGGTGTTCAAATGTGTTTTAATAAGATGACACTGCATTACTGCTCCCTTTCTCAGAAAAATTTCAACATACTTGAAACTTGAAGGCATCAGTTACAAATCAAACATAGCACACCAATAAAAAATGCACAGTGTAACTACAGAAGATAGGCAAAGCTAAGTGCCACTGTCAGACCTTCACACAGTAGCCCTGTGCCCAAGACTGCACAGCCTGTCCTGAAAAGCTGTGAACAGCAAGCAACATAGACACAAATGGGCATTCATTCTTGGGTAGTCCACACCCAAGGAAAAGGTGGAGGCAAGGCAAAACAAGATTTTTTTAAAGAATTACTAAAACCTCTAAGAGAAAAATGTCTTCCTTAGGACATGAAGTGGTCATATATGAGATAAAACAGATCCGTGTGTGTGTGTGTGTGTGTGTGTGTGTGTGTGTGTGTGTGTGTTGTGAGCTCTGTGAACATTTTTCTGAATTCTCATCTGGAAGTAAATTGGAGGTCACCTGAAGATGTTTAGATTTGATGGTATATATAACAGTGTCTTTGGGATTGAGGGGAATAAAAATGAAAAAAATAATTAAAACATAATTAGCAAAATATGAAGGAAGGAAGGAAGGAAGGAAGGAAGGAAGGAAGGAAGGAAGGAAATAATCAAGATTAACAGAACTCTGAGACCATTTTGCCGTGGCTATCCATGCCCTCAACAATCAACACGCCTCGGGAACTCACCAGACAGACTGATAACAGCAATATACCACAGACTTTGGTTCGCTAGCAACCACCCCTCCCTTGCCCTCTGCCTCCAAGGATACTCCCGAGAGTGAGTAGTACAGGCAGGAGAGACAGGCGTAGTAGTACAGGTGAGAACCCCTAACACCTTCCTAGAGTAGAATTTTGGCTAGTCCACAAAGCGCCTTTAGTTAAGGTTTGAGGGAAACTAGACACCGAAACTTTATGTAGTATGGGTAGCATTTATTTAGAGCAAATTCAGCTACAGGAGCCAGGAGGTTGGGTGCAGGAGGATTTCCACTAATTGGTGCAATCGGTTCCCTTGTAGCAGCTTGGCCAAAACATTGAGTTGGTGGTGGGGATCAATCCTAGGGTTCCATCTGTCATCATAGGGGCAGGTCCTGGAGGAGCCGGGGTACCAGCAGGCACAGGAGGAGAGGAAATGGTACCTCCACTGTTTATGCCCATAGCATCTCCCATAGCTATTTGGCCCATCCGTATCCCTTGTTCTCTTTATCAGGCAAGGGTCCCCTGCATCCTTCCTGTTGTCGCCTCCTTTGATTTCTTCTTCACAGAGCCTGCACTACTCCTCCTGCCTGAGCTCTAGCTGCTTTATTCGGTCGCTCTTGGTTACGCAGCTTCTCCATTCGCTTCTCCATTCGCAGAAGCTTTTCTTGAAGCCTCATTAGCATAACCTGGTGCTTGTGGCGTGCGGTCTTCATCTCCAGCTTCTCATGAACCTCCTTGTTGCGGTCCATTTGATCCTACTGTTGCTTCTCCATCTCAGTGCCTTCCAGCTCATGGCATACTCACGCTCCTGGGACCCAGGCAGTGCAAATCTGGGTGGTTGCTTTCGCTCTGTGAAATGGCTGAAGTTTTTTATGGTCAGCTCCTCTTCATCATGTCCATTGGCTCCACGGTCAGGATCCGAGGAAATGTGATGAGTAAGAAGGAGCCTTCACTGCATCTGCCCAGAGCTTCGGAGCAGCTGACTTCCACTCAGCAGTGCCTTTCCCTGAGGGCCTTCCAGTCATCCACGGTGACCATAGTCCTACACCTGGCCAAACAGAAAAGGTTTCGCCCTGCGCTTTGTTGGTCACATTCGGAGGAAGGTTGCCAACTGCAAGCGCACGTGCAGCTGCTTTCCAGGTAAAGACCAATTGCTCAGCTCCAATTTGGCAAACTCTGCTAGGGGTCGTGTCTCTAAGCGGGTAAAGACAAAGCCTGTGTGTCCATCCTTATGAAGGAAAACTTCTCCAGAAAGTTCCCTCGTTTCCTCATTTCCTCCTCAGTGACATCAGGGGAAGATTGCCCACAAAGAGACAGCTACTCCGGATAAAGATCTCTCCTCGCTCTTCTCTTCTCTCTCAATCTGTCTCTGTCTCTGTCTCTCTCTCTCTCTCTCCATCTGTTCCTGCTGCTAATGACATTGATGATGCATCCTTGGAGAATGGTTCTCTTCTCAAAGTTAAAGGTTTTCTTGCTCTGCAGTTTTGCACCCCTCTGCCCACTTGTCCAGCTCCTAATGTTTGTATTATTTATGGATTCTTTATTGTATACACTACTTAGAAATTCTTTTGTGATTGTGTGTGTATTCCTGCAGGCACAACTTTAAAATTAGAGCTTATTATGTTATATCTCTATTTTCTTAAAGAGAAAAAGACATCTGGGCATGATGTCACATATCTTTAATCCCATCTCTCAGGAAGTACAGGCAGGTGGATCTCTATGAGTTCCAGGCTAGCCAAGTCTATTCAGTGAGATCCTGTCTCAAAACAGAAACAGAAAAATAAATAAATAAATAAATAAATAAACAAACACACATACACACACACACACACAAAAACAAAACAAAACAAAACAAAACAGAGGGAAGGAAGGAGGAAAGAGAGACTCAGTCCTTAAAATTCTATTTTACTTTAGGTGACACTTTTCAATTATTTTATTCAGGAAACAGGCATGGAAGCATGTAAGTCTGTTTCCACATGGATGATCCAGCTAGGCAAATGGCCAGCACTGTCACGGCAGCTGTTTGATAAAAGACCAATGTTTGCATTTCATTATAATGTAAAGATTTAGACTCAAAGGAGCAAATGTGAAAGAAGAGGTGCTTAGAGAACCAACTGAGTTTAAGTCTCTAAAGAAACAGGTCACTAGGTTGGCAAGGTAGTCAAGTAAGTAAGAGTGCTGAGGACTGGCATCCAATCCCCACAACTAACTCCTGCAAGTTGTTCTCTGACTTGCAGACCTGTGCTGCAGTAGGTGGGAGGTGGGAATAGTCCCCAAAGAAATGAAACAGATCACTAACTCCGTAACTTGTTTCAGACATCATAGTTTTTTATTTTATTTTATTTTGTTGTTTTCAAGACAGGGTTTCTCTGTGTAGCCCTACTGTCCTATAACTCACTCTGTAGACCAGACTGGCCTCAAACTCAGAGATTAATTAGCTGCCTCTGTGTCCTCAGTGCTGGGATTAAAGATGTGCTCCACTACCCAGCTGCATTATAGCTTTTCAAAAGTCAACTTTCACCAAAAATTACTAAAACATGCATTGAACTTAAAACACAAGTTCATTTAAATTGTATAGGTAATTAACACTGATAAAGTAAATACTAAAATTTTACCAGAAAGTGCAGCAAACATGAGGGCTGTGTATCCATGCTCATGTTGATGGCAATTGACATCAGCTCCATGGCGCAGAAGTAACTTGCACATGTCAAGTTTTCCTTTATATGCTGCATGCATTAAAGGAGTCATGCCATTCTTTAAACAAAAGTGAAAATATATTAATTATGTACATTTCTATTTTCATAACTTACCAATATAAACAAACTAATAAAATCATCTTTCAAACCTATAAAGTATATTATAGTATACCCTCTTGGACATTATCTCAACTTCTAAGAGAAAAAAAATTTTTTAAAAGATTAACAAACAGAAAAGACATGTTCAACCTCACAGACTATCAAACAAGTAAAGCAATGATCAGAACCCAAACTGCCCAAGGTCCTCATTACCCCACACTCTTAGTTCTTAAGATACAAATGAACACAAGAAAACCGAAGACAGGAGGCTAACTCGTGAGAAACATGGGTTCAAGGCCTGCCTGAGCCTGGGTAACTTAATGAGAGACCCTATCTCAAAATAAAAAGTTAAAAAGGGGTTTGGAATGTAGCTTAATGATAGAGTACTTGCCTACCAAGTGCAAGGTCCTAGGTTCAATCTCCAGTACCAAACCAAACCAAAACCCAAACCAAACAAACAACAACAAAAGCAGAACACTTATCCAAAGGAAAGCTGACTAAATTCTGGCATATTCCTATAGGTGATTCTAAAGGTATTCAATAAGTGAATTTGGAAATGGTGAGATGGCTCAATGGGTTGTTGTTTCCACCAAGCCTGGCTACCCGTGTTTGATCAGCAGGACCCAATGATAGGAGAGAACCTACTTCAAAAAGCTGTTCTTTGAATACATGTGACTCCATGTATACAGACACACACAATATAAGCAAATAAAGATGAACATTTTCTAAATTATAGAGGGGATAGAGAAATGGCTTAGAGGTTAATATTGCTTGCTGCTCTTTCAGAGGACCTGAGTACAGTTCTTAGTGCTCACACCAGATGGCCCCAAACTGCCTGGGACTCCAGATACAGGAGATCAGATACCCTGTCCTGGCCTTTGTACACACACACACACACACACACACACACACACACACACACACACACTTAAAGTTTAAAAAATTCATATGCATGTAGTGAATTGGCAATTCTCTGACTACTGACAATGAGAAAAAGCAGGCACAGGATATATTTACTGCTGTAACATTATATGTTAAAACAAAAATCCCCAAATCACACACACACACACACACACACACACACACACACACACACACACACTTAATTATATTATGATTTGATTATATATGATTGCAAACATTGCCATGTAGCTGGCAATATTTAAACTAGACTGAATTGCTTCGTCTCCATCTATCTGTTTACCTAATGAAGTATCATATAATGTAATATTACAGCACACACATGGTTCTCTTAAATCTCATATATGACCCTTTCATGTCCCAAGGAAGACATTTTCTCTTAGAGGTTTTGGTAAATCTTTAAAAAAATCTTGTCTTGCCTTGTGAACCACCCAAGAATGAATGCCCATTTGTGTCTATGTTGCTGTTCACAGCTTTTCATGACAGGCTGTGCAGTCTTGGGCGCAGGGCTGCTGTGTAAAGGTCTGACAGTGGCGCTTAGCCTTGCCTATCTTCTATAGTTACACTGTACATTTTTATTGGTGTGCTATGTTTGATTTATTCCTGATAACTTCCAATTTGAAATTTATAACAAATAATAGAATTCCACAGCATTTTAGTAACATTACTCCAAAAGTATAATTTAAAAGAAAATTTAAAGATTAAACAAAGTTTCAAGATTTAGTAAAAATATGAGGTAGACTGCTAAATTTATTTTATTACAGAGAATTTTCTTTCAACTGAGCATAATGATGTGTCTTTAATCCATCACAAGCAGAGGCAGAGAAGTCTCTATATGTCACAGGCCAGCCAGGGCAACGTAGTGATACCCTATCTCAAAAAACTAAAATAAAAAGGAAAAAGTGTTTCTTCTTGGTAATGAAATTGTAACATGGTTTTATGAAGTGTGTGGTTTCAATTTAGGGATGAGATGTGTACTAATATGGTTCAGTTCATGATCATAAATATTCTGGCCGTAAGTAAACAGTTCATTTGCTGTTTTGAACATCCATTCTTGAGATATCTTTAAGGAAACTAATTCCATGGGTAATTTTGGCTTTTTATCAGTTGTGTAGGAGGCTCTTGTCTTGCACTCAATGGGAAAGGTTCTGGGGGGCTCTTTTCCCGCCTATGTCCCCTTCAGAGAAGGCTGCTGACAACAGATTTGGAGGCTGGGAACTCTCAGGTGATTGTAGCTCACTGAATAGTTGCCCTGGGTTTGATCTCTAGCACCAAAACAACAGCAGCAGCAACACATACATGTGCACACACACATGTGTGGATGTGGGTATAAATCCTGAACCTAGACAAAGAGCCATGAGTAAGGAAAGGACCCCACAGCAGGAACCACTGAGGAAGAGTGGCTGTAATAAAACATCCTACATGAAGGGGAAAAAAAATACTGGGAGAGGAAGCAGGAGGGGGAAGACAGGGGTGAGGGGAGAGGAAGCAGGAGGAGGGGGAAGACAGGGGTGAGGGGAGAGGAAGCAGGAGGAGGGGGAAGACAGGGGTGAGGGGAGAGGAAGCAGGAGGAGGGGGAAGACAGGGGTGAGGGGAGAGGAAGCAGGAGGAGGGGGAAGACAGGGGTGAGGGGAGAGGAAGCAGGAGGAGGGGGAAGACAGGGGTGAGGGGAGAGGAAGACAGGGATGAGGGGAGAGGAAGCTGGAAGAGGAGGAAGACATGGGTGAGGGGAGAGGAAGCAGAAGGGGGAAGACAGGGTTGAGGGGAATCAACCAAAACAAAGGACATTTGAAAACGTCAGACAAAAGCAAGTGTTTTGTATGCTAATTAAACAAGCACACAGCTACTCTTTGTTAATAGACAAACCACTCAGATTTCAACACTGTCTGTTCTTTCAGAATGGGTTAGCAGGTGACCACCCCTCCATCCCCCCACCCTGCCCTCCCAGAGTCCCACCCACAGCCTTTACCTGCAGAGACCGCTACTGGACTATAGGAAAGCAGACCTTCTCAATGCAAAGTGAAAATCTGTAAACCTCAAAGGTCCTCTGCAAATCATGCTCTTTTTGCCGTTCTTGTGTTTGGCTGCTGGTCATTTCTGCCCATTTACATGCCAGCCTCCCTTTGTTTCCCATTGCTGCTTCTCGTTTTTAAAATAAATGCTACCTCCCTCTTTCTATGTCTTTATTCTCTTGTTCCTTCTCTTTTAGCAGTGGGCACTTTAGGAAGATTAGATTTTAAGCCCCCAAACCAGGAAAGCATCTTTACAAAAGCGTAGAGTTCTCATGATTGACAACATCACTCCCTTCAAGGTGTCTGGGCCAGCTGTCCATCATGGCCACAGGTAATGTGCGTTTCCTGTATCATTATGCCACACTGTTAGAATCTGTAAAAACTTAGACTAGCTTTTCAAAGATCTGGGCATCATTCCTACTTTCTTATCCCAGTTCCATTTCGCATTACTTAAACAATGCAAGAGAAAATTATAAATTCCCAGTGCAATTATTACTAAGTATTATGTTGTTTCTAATGCTACACTTTATGATGTGATTTCAGTGGGCCAAAAAAAAAAACAACTCTTCAGTTGTTTTATTAATATTAATACACTTCTGTGTTCTGAGATGAAAGCTTCTAGTCTGTCAGTGTAAAAAATAATCAAGGAGACAAATAACTCAAAACAAAAGTTACTCTACTAAAAGAAAATAGCCCCATGTTCAAAATAAAATCCCTAAGTCAAATTGAAAATGCTACCTTCCAGTTACAGATAGAAGATGAAGCAGTACTATGAAGAAAACCAATGTTGAATGCCCATCTGTGTTCACCACAGCAGTAGTAAGAGGTGTCACAACTCCACCCCTTCTGACTGTAGTCAAGTGTGTAGGAAGCAATACCCCACTGTGCTTCCAAAGCATTGCCCAAGTGCTAGTGACCTCAGGGATCACCAGTTTACTGGCAATTTTTTTTTATTTAATCTTTGGAGCCCTGTCTGTTTGGATCCTTTGCCCCACCCCACCCCCACACTTGGTTATATGTTCTTTTTTCTTAAGTTAGAAGTTCTTACTATATTTATGCTACAGGTCTCTCCTCAGATATGATTTGTAAAACTTTTCTCCACTTCTATGGGTTATAACTGTGTGATAGCTAAAGTTACATTTTAGGTTTTAATTACTATGCCTTAGAGATCCATGAAACAAAAAGGCCTCTGATCTGCAAGCCCAAGGACAGATAGTTTCTGAAATGCTGGAGGCTGTTGCTTACAGAAGATAACAAGTCACATGTTTTTCCCTCTCCTAAACAAGTTTGTTTGACCCATCTGCATGGGATGTGCTTGAACACGTGGGCAAGAGGTTCACAGGCAGGAAATATGTCAGGATGTACACTCGCCCCTGATTGGATGTAGGTATGGAGAGACGTATGTTTGCCCCTGATTGGACCTGAGGAGAATGGCAATGAATTATGGGTTTTTTTTTTAAGCCCCTGCAAACAGTGACTCGGGGCCATTTCCCAGGAACTCAGGCATGGATGCGGCCAGAGCCCACCCACCTGGCCAGTATTTAAGTAAACTTGCTTCTGATTTGGCCTTAAACTGTGGTAGTCTTATTCTGAATCAGTGGAATTAACAAATCCAAACTTTGAAACACAAAAGCGTTCAACCTCAGAGATTTCCAGTTATCTATTTTCTATCTTATAGCTAATACCTTATCTCACATTTCTTATTTGATTTTATTTTTCCTAAGTTATTTTTCTATTTCTTTCTGCATATTTTACCCACACAATTTCATGATTTGAAAGCTAAGAATACCACAATATTTAAAATATGATAATACCCACAAAATGGCTTCTGATCATGGCCTTAGCCACCTCAACAGCTTTAAATAAACACCATATTTTGATAAATGTATTTCTAATTCTAAACATTTCTATTTCATTTGTGAATTTAAGTATTGAATTAAAAACACTGGAAGATATGCATTTCATTAGTTTGATTAATTTTTATTTTCAAATCTAACACATTGCATTTGGCAAACTTGTTTAATGGTATACGAAATTTATTTTTTAAATAATATAACATATCATCTATTTGCATATAAAAGACCACGTTTCCACATTTTGTAAAAAAAAAAAAAAAAAAAAAAAAAAAAGATAGAGGCTAGGTGTGGTGGTACAATTAGCCTTTAATCCCAGTACTTAGGAAACAGAGGCAGGTGAATCTCTGTGAATTAAAGGCCAGCCTAGTCTACATAGCTAGTTCCAGGTCAGCCATTGCTGAATAGTAAGACCCTGTTTAAAAAAAAAAAAAAACAAACAGAAAAGATATCATTTGGAGACAAATGTGATTACAAACACCTTTAATTGCATAATTGGGAAACCAAGGCAGGCATGAGGACCAAGAGTTCAAAGGGTAGCCTGGGATATATGGATAGTATTGATACTATCTCAAAAACAACAATAAAATGAAAAGATGAAGAGAGGAGGGAGAAGGGAAAGAGAAGGGGTTTACAATTTGGGCTTAATTTGTACTTATTTGATCACTTATAAGATTAATCATGTTTTCAATGTCTCTTATCTTGATTTTAAAAAAACAACTACCATTGAAAGGTTTTACATTTCCCTTTTGGGGTGTGTGTGTGTGCTTGTGTGTTTGCCCATGTGGAAGCTAGAAGTTGATGCCCAGTGTCTTACTCTATTGCTTACCACCTTATTTTTTAAGCAGTGTTTCACTGCCCCTGGAGCTCACTGCTGGCTACACTGGCTGCTGGCCAATGAGCTCCAGGCATTCTGTTCCTGCGGTCCCTCTCCCCACACCAGTGCTGGGATTACAGGTGTGTACCGCCATGCCTGGTTTCACATGGGTGCTGGCAATCTGAACCCTAATCATCATGGTTGCATGGCATGCACTAGCCAACTGAGCCATGTCCTCAATGCCTCTGTCATTCATCCTCTCAGGAAGTAAAATGCTGTATTAATTTTACCTCATCCAAACAGTTGACATGAACATTCTTACTAGATAACAGTGTTCCAGCTTCTTGGACGGTACCTTTAAAAAAAAAGAAGAAGGTGGTAAAACATGAGTTCATCTCTTGGGAGAAAAGGGGAATGTGGTGGCAATAAAATTTAAAGGGCTGTCTGGAAGACCAAGGCTAGTCATGCCGGTGCTAAGATACAAAGCACCCAGCCACTTGCTTCACAAGCATTTCTCCAGAGAAACAGTTTCATACAAACTCACATAGTTCCATCTTGGTTTTACTTTCATTGACCATATCACCTTAGTCCCATTTTCCTTTTGGCAGTCATACTATAACTACCCGGCAAAGGAGTTAATCCCGAAGCAAATCCTAAAGACCATCTAGTCCAAATCACCATCTAGAACTGACAATTGCATCCATGCAATGCTTAGAATTCAAGATACAGTTGGTATTGCATTGTGTCATTGAGTCACTTGGCAGCAGTGGGTCTCGAGAATGATGGCATCTTTTTAACAGAATGCTTGGTTTATAAACCACTAGGTAAGACATACTATAAAGTCTGCAACTATGGAGATTGCTCTCATGCTGTAAAGATCTCATGCTGTAAAGGATCAAATTAAAACCGAAAGGTCCGTCCTCTGAGAATTTGGAAAGCAGCAGTAATTGGGTCAGAAAAACAGGTTTTTCCAGTTTTGTCTGCATCACGACAGAAAGTGGTTGCAGAAGAGAACATCAATATCATTACCATTAATCCACGACAGCCACATGACCTGCCAAGTAATTTCTTGGCTTGACTAGAAGACAACAATGAAATCCAATGTCCTCAGAGTGGGAGGATGAGCTACGCCTCCCCTCTAAAAGGAGACCAAAGACAGGAGCACCCCAACTAAGAGAAAAAGTGGGGTGCAGACTGAACACCAGCCTTCGCCTTTCCCACTATATGATTTTAGGCAAGTCCCCTGAGGGCTCCTCACCAGTCCAGGAGAGGTTTCGATGCCCCTGGGTGTGTTGGGAAAATGTCAACAGAGTGGCCAACAATCCCGGAGTAGGATACTCGCTATTTCTGTAAATAGTGTGGGGTTTTTTTGGTTTGTTTGGTTGTTTTTGTTTTGTTTTGTTTTTCTGGTACTGAACTCCCTGTGAGGGCAGTTGGTATCACTGGCTACATGGCTAAGGAAAAGGAGAAATTTGCTGCTGCACATGTGAGCCAGTCTGACCTAACAGGCACACGATAGACCCTATCTCAAAGGACGTAAACAATGTTCCTGATAATGTCACCCAAAGTTGTCCACACATGTACACACACAGACACAACAGGAAGACGCTTTGGAGGATGTAAGTAGCTTCTACTTTCAGCTTCAGCCATACCTGTAGCTTCCCTTCAAAGACCTTCTCAAGATGGCTCAGTGGTTAACAGCACTGGGGGCTCTTCCACAGGACCAGGATTCAAGTCCCAGCACCCACATGGCAGCTAACAACTGTCTGTAACTCCAAGATCTGACACCCTCACACAAACAGCAAGAAGTCCTTCACCCTGTTTGCACTTGGGAAGATGCTTCAGTTGACTTACATGCTCCACTGAGAACTCACGGAGGTCATTCTCCTCCTGGCCAGGAGATGTTTATGGAAGAAAGGAGGAGATTGTGAGCATCTCAAAGCCTGCCACATGTTAAGGATAGGATGGGTCTCATTAGAGAACAGGCCTCTAATCCTACAAAATGTTTGCCCTGTGGCCAACAGCATAAAAAGATACTAGGCATGCTGTAAAGCATAGTGCAGGGATGTTTTCTCCTGCTAAACTTTCACTCAGTAGTCTCAGGACTCTACAACAACAAAGACTACCCCCACCCCTGCAACACACACACACACACACACACACACACAGAGAGAGAGAGAGAGAGAGAGAGAGAGAGAGAGAGAGAGAGAAAGAGAGAAAGAGAGAGAGAGAGAGTTCTCCAGCAGACATCATCCTTAGGCTTGACAACTCACAGGACTCAAGGAAAATACCAAACTCACATTTTCCTGTTAACTGTAAACGATTCTCACCAGTGGGTCTCCATTCCTTTGGGAATCAAACAACCCTTTCACAGGCATTGCATATATCAGATATTTACATTACAATTCATAACAGCAGCAACATTACAGTTATGAAGGAGCAATGGAAGTAATTTTATGGTTGGGGGTCACCACAACATGAGGTACTGTAGTAAAGGGTTGCAGCATTAGGAAGGTTGAGAACCACTGGTCTAGATGAATAAGACACGGTAGACGGGAGGAGACAGAGAGCCCTCTTTGGGCAGTCCCTCTTCTAGCAATCTGAACACTTTCTCAATTTGGTATTTCAGAAATATTTTGAGGTTTTAATGCATAGATATGATGAATTATTAGCTCAGTCTCCTGCATCTTTCCCTTCCTGGAAGTTGATGGGAGCAAGGAGAAGCTGAAAGTTCCAAGCTTGTAATCATGGCTGGTCTTTCCAACGACAGCCCATGCTGTAGAACTATCTAGGCGCCCCACAAACAGCAACTAATAAACAGAGACATGCCTGTCACCTAGGAAATGCCCAGAGATATTAGGATAAATTAGAATAAAAGATGTACCCAGCACTCTTAGATGGGGGGGGGGGCAGACGGGGACTTTAAGAACTGTGTCAGGAAACAAGAGAAGAGAACAAATACAAATACGTATTATGTGCCACCACCCATGCAGACACATATATGCACACATACAAATTTATGAGACCTCTTACATCAGCTTTTTGAGATTCAGGGAACATGATGAAAAAAATGTACAGAATTTGAGCTTCTGCAGAATGAAAATAAATGAGTGAACTACCCCAAGGGGAAATATATATGTAATATGACTTTTAATTTGGTGTTCCCGATCTAATGACACCAAAAGGAAACCACAGAATGAGCTGAGATGTGAATGAAGCACGGGGCTCACACAGGATCCAGACTTCCACCTATTCCTTACCCTCCATTAGGAGACCTGGGGAAAGGAATGTGTTCTATTTAATGTAACACAATAGGAGAGGCACCACTGTGCGAAGTGCCTGGATTGGAGGGATCAACTTTCATGCAGACAAAACTAATGGAAACCAGCAATGATTTGCTCCTTTTCAGAGTTTATGTTCAAACCAAAGAAAACAGAACCCAGTTGCTCTCACTGGAGTGGGACTGATCACTTTTATATAGATAAACCAGCACTGGCAAACAAAAGTGGCATTCTCATCGTCACCACCTTCTACCACCTATGTTGTGAAACTCAACAAAGCAGACCAAGCCCTAGCTTTCCTAACAATAAATAAAAATCCCAGAGAACTCTGAGGAAGACTCGGGCCTTGCCTTAATATGGACACACTCCAAGCCTTCGGTGCTCGCTACACATCCGTCCCACCTTTTTCATTTTATGTGTATGAGTTTTGCTATCTACTTTATACCAGTACCACATGTCTGCCTGGTACCCACAGACGCCAAAAGAAAGCATCAGATCCCACGGGCCTGGAGTTAGAGGTGAATGTGAGTCACCATGTAGGTACTGGTAGTGGGACCTGGGTTGTCTGGAAGAGCAGCCAGTGTTGTTAACTCCTGAGCCCTCTCTCCAGCCCCTGCATGTTTGTTCTTTCTGTTTTTACATTAAGAGCAATTATTATTATTTTGAGGTCCTAGTTAACATGTGGGGCAAGAACACCACATAGCTATATCTTAGGTGTGTACAGATTTGAATAACTATTTAGTGGATGTCAAAAGATGTATTTTAAAAACATATTTAGCAGGGCAGTGATGGCACACACCTTCAATCTCAGCAACTGGGAGGAAGAGAAAGGCAGATTTCTGAGTTCAAAGCCAGCCTGGTCTACTGAGTGAATTCCAGGATGGTCTATGCTACACAGAGAAACCCTGTCTCAAAAGAAAAAAAAAAAAAAAAAAAAAAAAAAATATATATATATATATATATATATATATATTGATATATTGATATATATTGTAGAGCATTTTGCCTGTGTATGTGTACCACAAATCTGCCTGGTATATGTGGAGGTCAGAAGACGGCCTTAGATCCCTTGGAGCTGGAGTTACCAATGCGTGTGAGCCAACTGGGAACTGAACCCAGGTCTACAAGAGCAATAAGTGCTCTTAACCACTGAGCCTTGACAGCATCTATATCCAATTAAACATATAAAATGTGGCTTGAGTTGGTGGCTGCTATAAGGTTGATATATAAGTAAAATTATGTAAAGACATTTCAATCATCCTAACTGTATGATGTATGTGGAGGGTATATGCACATGCCATGGCACATATGTGGATGTCAGAGGACAGCCTTGGAGACAGTTCTCGTTCCATATTTATGTGGGTTCCAGTGATCAAACTTGGGTTGTCTAATTTGTTCAGAAAGGACCTTACCCACTAAGGCACTGTGTGACTCACATAAATTGCTATCATCATTTATAAAGGTGTGAAAATGTTTATAAGCAGACAACTGGAGGCTGGATAGACAGCCCATGAGTTAAAAGTACACCCTGCTCCTGTATGGTGGCATCTTGCTCGGCCAGTGTGGCTTCAGGTGTTCAGACATGACCCCTTATAAGGTAGAGGAGGGGCTGGCTAGCTCTCTTGGGTTGTGGTGAGAGCATCCAAAGAGCAGAGACTGAATCGTCTGGAGCAGGACGACCGCAGTGGTTATTTACTATTATCTGTGTTGGTGCTTCCCTAATAAATACCTAGTTATCATTTATCTTGGGTCTGGTGGACTCATTTAAGGCCCGCCTTCACTCTTGCAGAAGGCTGCAGTTCAGTTCCCAGCACCCATAACATCTACATCTGATGGCTCACAGCCACCCATAACTAACTCCAGCTCCAGAGGATAGGACACTATCTGGTCTCCAAGACTACCTGTGCTCTACGGCATGGACACACATACATTTTACATATCTTAAAAATGCTTTTTTTTTTTTTTAGAAAACAAAACAAAACAAAACTGCTTACTGCCTTGCTTTCTGGTCTGCTTCTCTCTAGAACCCAAGACACTTCTACTACATCTACTATAGCATGTGTTTTGAAACAGTAGATTTCTGCAAGGTTTCTAGAAGCTCTCCCTCTGCAGTGTCCTTCTCTATGAAGGGGAGATATTTATCAAAATCACAGAGTATGTTTAACATGCTACTTGGACTAACTCACTTCATCCTTACAACAATGCCACGAGGGAGGGCCTATTATACCCATAGTACTAGACACCCGCATAAGTCACACCATCAGGAAACAATGGCAGTCCTGTTGCAAACTAGACTGGTATGGCGTCATCTTTCTATTGCTGTGATAAAACATCATGACCAAAAGCAACTCAGGGAAGGAGGAATGCTCCATCATGAAGGATGTCATCTGGGCAGGAACTCCAGGCAGGAACCTGGGGGCAGGAGCTGATGAAGAGGCCATGGAGGAGTGCTGCTTACTGGCTTGCTTTCTGGTCTGCTTTTCTTATAGAACCCAGAACCAACTGCCCGAAGGTGGCCCTGGCCCCCGTAGGCTGGGTCCTCCCATATCAATCATTAATCCCGAAAATGCTAGCACAAACTTGTAACCTGTTGCAGATACTTTCTCAACTGAAGTTCCTCTTCCTGGAGGACTCTAGCTTGTGTCAAACTGACAAAGTAATAATAATAATTTATAAAAACCCTAACCCAGACACATAGTTACAACCATTCCATGATGCTTCCTGCTACAATTCAGAGAAAACAAAACAAAACACAAACCTTTAGCTCTGCTAGATTAAATGTATAAGTACATGCCATGTGCTCAGAATGGCATTCAATGTTGGCTTATCTTCTCCCATCTCTCAGTACTTTTCCTGAGAGCAATAGTGGCTCAAAAACCTGATAGGTCAAGAGTGCATCACAAAGTAAATTTACCTCGGTTCCTTACTCATTGGCTTGGGGAAAGCAAACCAGTGAACATCAGCATCTGTGTACTCACAAACCTCGAGCATGAGGTGGCCTAAGAAGTATAAGTGATAAAACCCACTATCGCTATTTGATACAGCCTTTGGAATAAACCCTTTCACACATCTGCATGCATCCAAGAACTTACGCCTCCCCTTTCAGTCCATATTTTCTCCAGCTGCTCACGAGTTTTCACTTTCAAGTGAACACGTGATAGCTTTGGCCTGTTTAAAATCAGAATTACCATTCCTGGGGGATTATGCGCTGTCCTCTCTTAGGTTTGACGGGTACAGTACCTGGCACGGAGCCGGGCCTCCTGTTCAGTAAACTAAATCCCAGACCTACTGATGGCAGCGAGAAACCGGGAGACAGCACAGAAAACCAGAAGTCACTGAGCGTCATGCAGTTCACAGAATAAGATAAAATCGAACCCAGAGATCTCAGATTTCCGGCAAACATCAATTACCCTGAGAATCTAGTCATGACTGACCTAGCAGTGTCATCAGTTCCTAGTCACCTGTTGAGTTCAAACCCGATAGTTTTCTCTTTCATACTCATTAGACTCAGGCATTCCTGCTTAGAAGTAATGCATTTGCCTTCCTAACTATTGTTCTACACTGAATTTGGCTACACAGAAGACTGGGGCCCGATGTTACAATGTCCAGTTTCTCTGCCTTTCGAGGGCATATATTTTATTCTTGGACTCAAAGCACCAATATTAGTCATGCCTGCAGGCCCTCATCCTCAGCTCAGAAAAGTGACAGTGCACGGGGTCACGCTGATGTCACCTGCCAGGTAACGGGATGCGGCTGAGAATTCGTCTAGGACGTCCACTGGGAGACGAGTGGAGGAAACAAGGCTTCTGGTTGGCCTCGGTGGCTTCCTTCCTACAAGCTGCACAGCGGAGGCGGGACTCGAATCCACGAAGTGGAAAGGAAAGCACTAAGAAACGCGACAAAAAGATCTCAGCGCTCTCCCCCATCTCCTGGCCTTCCTGCCCCGGTCTGTGCTACAGGAAGCCAGCCACAGAGGCCCTGGCTGCAGAAAGCTCATGGTGGCACGTTACAGGCAGAGTGAGTTCTGTGCCCTTATAAAGAACCTTTCTCGCTGAGAGCTCCCTCCACCCCCAGCAGGGGCGGGGATCCGCAAGGGATCCAGATCCTTCGGCCTCCGGAAGTCGAAAGGGCCCCTTAGACACCCTCTTGAGAGCCTAAAACTACCAGGCCACTGTGGTCTTGACTGACTGCGGTCAAGCTTGCACACGCGGAGGCTAGTTCCCCAGGGCCGGCCCTTACCGTCTCAGAGGGGTAGTGGTAGCCTGTCGATTTCCAAAAAGCTGATTTAGAGGTCCAAGTCTCGATCTGATCACCGCAATGCTTCTGCCTCCCTCCCATCTCCCAGCCCCTGCAATCAGTCCCCAGCCGGAGACAGAAAGGTTTGTTCCGGACCATTGCCCAAGACACCCCGGGCCTGGAGCGAACCCCCAGGCTCCTCCACGTCCCGCGACCAGGTGCACGGCGCCGGGGCACCAGCCCTGCGCCCGTACCTTTCCCGATCACTTCCAGCAGCTCCTTTTCCTCCTGGGTCAGCTCGCCTTTCTTTATGTGACCCATCGTCCCCGCCAGCTTGAAGCTTAATCTATTTCTTTGGTAAGATTTTTAAAAACGAGAGACTTGCGTGCGTCGTGGAAGCCCGCCTCAGCCAGGCAACTCGAGGCCAGGGCAGCAGCCTAGCCGAGTGGCGCTCGCCGGGGTCCTGCGGCTGGGGGATGGCGGGTGCGGCGAGCTCGGGCGAGCCGGGCAGGCGCTCTCCGCAAGTACCGCCCCCGCGCCTCATTGGCCCGGTGGGGAGGAGGAGCTGCGAGCGCAGCAAGAGACTCCGATTGGAGCAGCTCACGAGGTCCAAACCAAAAGGAGAAATCCAGAGGGGGATTCAATATATCTTCTAGGTTTCCTACTCCCATGCCAACCCATAAAGAAGTACAGAGACACAGTGGTCCTTGAACTCTACATAAAATACTTTTCTTCCTGGCAGTGTCTTCTGTGGGGATGCCC